GGGGGGGGGTTGGGGGGGTTCTGCAAAATAAAATTGTATAGTTTTTGACTTTGTGCACCTTTTTTGCAACGCATAGATCAATTATTACGATTTATGCTAATAGCTAAAGCAATAGGTGTTCAACATTTTATATCTTGTATTACCATTTGATAATTATAGGGAAATTAGAGAGGAAATTCCATGTAACTCTTTTTGTTTGAGGATAGTGTATAGGCAAGTGATGTATTTTTGGATGTGATAACAATTAGCTTTAACTGATGATCACAAATGTGACTACCACGAATGATTCAACCTGTTGTTGCTTGAATAAGTATATCCAAAGCAATGCTGCCCGGTCCCTTATAGGTTTCTTGCTGGAGTGTATCTAGGAATCTAATAGCTAATTGTGGTAAGAAGTTTGTAGTCTTTAATTAGATGCTACCAACCTTGATAGACATTATTTTTAAATAATAAATTATTGTCAATGTATGTATTTTTTGAATGATACGGTAGTAATTTTTGCTGATTTCTACCATTCTTTTTTCTTTGCTAATCTTATATATCTATCTAACTTGACCTTTTCTGTTTTCTATTTTCTTCTATTGACATACTTGCAATATGTTGATTTTTGTTAGAGCTCGATGGGTTCTGAACTTCACTTATGCTTTGTGTTGCTGGTTTATAGATTCTGATCAGAAATAGATTTTACTGCAGAATGCAACAAGGGTCACCGATACTACTCAGTTCATGAAGATATTTCGGACCAGGGAAGTTGCACAAACTCTGCACCCTTAATTATATATTTTATAATTAAAATTTTAATATATATAATATAAAAACCATTTCAACCAGATTATGATTGTACCACCCTGTAGTTGCTTTGCAACTGCAGGAATCCTGGTTCGTAACTCTAGCAAAAAGCATCATGTTAGTTGGGTTCCATGGTAAATAATTGACCGCGTCGGTCGGTTGCATTCCATGATTCATGGTTTTCCTGATTATATTTATGTTCTCTCTGCATTTGGCAAGTGTTTTTATGGGTTAAATGATTGCTATTCTTTGTAGTAGTATCGCTTAATTACTATGCTTTTCTTGCTAAGTAGCACCTCTATATCTTAAATTTGGTGACGGCCAGGAATATTGATATTACTGTTTATTCTCAGATAGATGATTGATTACTGTATTTTTTTTTTTATCCAACAAGCATCTTTAAAATTTAATATATTTTGGTTGGATTTTGTAAAATTTTTAGGCTGCAGATTACTCGTCTTTCTTCCGTATTAGGTAATTGCTTCAAGAAACTAAGTGGTAGATCAACTTCCTTTCAAGGCAGATGTACCTTTTCTTACGATTGTGCTACGATTGTTACGTTTGTGGACAAATGTGTGACGGTCATGAACTATGGTAGCAGTCTTCTGCAAGTGACAATTTCAAAACATTTATGGAAACAATTGAAAACAAGGGCAGTATGTAATCCTCTCGGTTTCTTATAAGGAATCTTGTAAATGAATATCCAAAGATACTAACTAAGAAGTTCATAAATAAAGTAAGGCAATTGTTAACGAATATTTAAGGGCAATGGTTAATAAATAAAAATAGATTTTTTATTAAAATATCATCAAAATATTCTTATCATGATTTCCAATGTATTATCAACATAAATTTTATGATAAATATTTTTATTTATTAATTCCTTAACTTGGGACATTGTTTAACAATATTTATAAATAAAAAATATTTATTGAAAATCAAATAATAATGCATTAGTAGCATTAATGTTACACTTTGTCTTTTTTTTTAAAAAAAAAATTATGAGTTATGTTACGCTTTCTCTTAAATTTCTTAATTTTACTTTTTTTTTAACTAGTGATCTCAAGTAATTGTTAACATTTTCTTTTTAAAAGAATTAAGAATTTATAAGTAATTCCTTTATTTACTATTTCTTGTCAAAATACTAGAATTCTTCCCCTTTGTCTCCGGTACCGATTGACTAGATATAACTGATTTTGATTGAAAAGATCATATGATCTTGAAATTTTTGTTCTTATCTATATCACATTCATGCATAGTCAGCCATGCAACCATACGTCGCCATCAACTACTCCAATTTCAATGAGTTCCCCTTCTACGAGAAAAGCTAATCCAAAAATGAAAACAAGTCAAATTTGGCTCCATAGAAAACCAGTTTTGTTGTAATGGGGAAACCACCTTTTTTTTTCCTAGTTGAATAAAAAATCTTCACATTTATACTGAATAATTGAAGCATATTCAAGTTCAGTTATTAGTTTTGAATAAAATGCAAGGCTATAGTACACCACATTTGCACACAACACAATGATTCTGTAGATCTCTATTATTGGTCGAAGGCCTACTATTGTTTGACTACCCCCCTTTCTCTTGCTTCTTTTCATTTTGAAAAATTCAGCAATTTTACCTACTATTTAGAGCATGTTTATTTTGTTATTGAGTTCCATTGAATGGAAAAAAACACATTCTAAAATATTAAACGAAGTGTATGTTAAACCGTTTGCATCATGACACATAAATTTCTACTTTTCAACACATAAAAATAAGAAGCAAGTATATGTTACTTTTAGTTGAATGTGAATTTGAATGAATTTCAACATCAATACAAACATACTCTAATAAGTAATTTTTTTTCTATTTTTTTCATTAAACGTGATTTTATAGGTTTCTAATTGGAAACCAAATACACGCTTATGGTGGAAGCTGCCTATTTTAAAGAAAATCTTCATTCAGACAGAATGGAACTATAAGAAGACATTTTTTTGATACACATCTTCTGTTTTGGACACGTTGAATGGAACCTAAATATGTGACCCACTTAACATTATCATAAATACATATTGCTTGAGTCCACTCATGTAGTTGGCATGACCATGACTTGTATTGTATCTATAACTAGGCTTTGACTCTTAGTATAGCTGCTGAGCACTCTTTTATTCGGTTAAAAAATAAGGCAAATACTAATTACTACATTATAGGCAGTAAAATTAATTAAAATGTAGAATCATCATCTTGCTGGCTATCATAATGTGCTACCTATCTGCAAGTGTTTGGAGCTTTCCGGGGATTTAATTTGAAATTTCATAATCATCGATCTTCACCACATGAGAGGGCCACACAATGAAATGACGGCGATACCAAAGCAAGATGTTAGATGTGGCACATTCTGTGCAAGAAATTGCACATGGAAATTAATGCTGAGTATCAAACTGTTTCACTTGGGGATTTTAATTTCTTCTTATCTCCACTAGCTTCAAAAAAAGAGTTGTGGATTCTTTTAACAAGTATCGAAAGTTAGAGTCTCGATTAATAGAGAATAATATATACATATATATTAAAAAATTTGTATTTATAGATATTTGTGGATAAAATTTGCATATAAAATGAATATATAAATTCATGGATAATGAATGTGTATTTTCTATATTGCCATATTATCCATGAATGTGTATTTTCTATACTGGCATATTAAGGGGCGAGTTTAAGTATTATAATATTTATATTTGTAAGTACTCACTAATATTTAATTATATAATTTTATATTAAATTTGTTTAAATTTAAGGAAATGAAGTACTTTAATAATTAAATTAAATTTTTAAATTTAAGAATCTTGATTAATGAAATTGTGTATAATATTTGAATAATTTAAGTTTTGACTTTTAAGCTATTAACTTAAAACAAATTATTAAAATAAATAAAAATTATAATTAAAATATTTTTTAAAATAAATATTTACGAATATTTGTGGATACCCACAAATATTAAGAAAATATATGAATACCTATTTAACAGATACTCGCATGAATATAAAGATGAATATGAGACAGATATTTATCGGATAGGATGGGTAGCGAGGGACTACTACCCATACCCGCACCCCACCTTGTTGACATAAGTATGGAGCAATTCGTACCTTATAACATAAGATTGAGTAACTTGAGTTAATCTCTTAATTCATTTTCTTAAGATGATATCAAAGTATATGAGAGTCTATCCTAGTAAGTGTTGTTGGACTAATTAGATCATCCATTATTAGGTCGTTATCAAATCACTTATAGATGTGTGAATGGTGTGTTAGAGATCCCACATCAACTAAGAATAATATCATAATAATGTATATAAGTAAAAAATAATTTTCATCCTATAAACCAATTTTATAAGATTAAGTTAAGTTTTTAATTTACTTTCTAAGATTATATGTTATGAGACTTTGAGATGTAGTGGAGGATGACAAAATTAATTAAGCAAAACTTGTTGCCATTGATAAAATATTATTGTCACAGTATTATAAGATTATTATTATTTTCTTTGATATAGAAATATGTTGCCATCCGCATTGAAGAATGTAACAATCAAAGTGTAAGCTTGCCAGTTCCACATTGATACTCTTTCACTAGAAGATCATGGAGGCTCCATTCTTGAAAAATCAAAAAGTCTTCCTTTTAAGAAGCACGATAGGCTTATTAACTTAAATGAACATTGAGTTAAATTTAAACTTACATTTTTAATAATTATAAAAAGAAAGTCATAATAAAATATATAAATAAAGACAATTATCATAACTATTAAATCTGATCTAATAATAAGAGTTGAAATAATATTTATAAAATCTTAAATTTAATTTATTATTATTATAAATAAAAAATAGAGACAATTATCATCTTATAACTAAATTTTATAATATTGAGTTACTCCCATCCTAAGATAAGAATTATTTTACTTCTATACTTTATTAAAGAACCTTATTGTTGGTGAATACGAGATTTGTAGCCTTAAGTAATAAGTACCCGTGGGTTTAAATTTAAACAGTTTTATAGAGTTTTTGACTGAAATATTTTTATTTTTCTTAAATACTCAAAAGAACACCCGTACTAATTTATTTATCCAAGTAGATCCTTTTATTATTTATGCTCAGAATTCGGTTATTGAGGAACCGAATTTTGAGCAGCATTTTAT